TTTGAACCAGTGTGGTTGGAGAGGTGGTAATTCCATCCTCCAATCCACGGTCACTTTTAGAATTCTATAAATACCAGATGTTTGAAAAAACTGGGTCTTTTTTGAACTTCTCAAGCTTCTGTGTACTCATTTCATGTCCAATAGTGACACTTCCCCCACAGCCAACAGTTGCACACAGCCTATAAAGCCTTCCCAAGTAATTTATTCCATTTTTTTCACTGAATTATGCACAGACGCTATCCAAATCCCTCTGATGAACAGAGGATCAGGCAGAGTTTGAGATTTTATAGTGGTTGCTGCTCCAAAATCATGTCAGGTAACAGGCTGGAGCTCTCACTGTAGTGTACCTGACCTGGCTCTCTCTGTCCCTTCAGAGTTCCCTAAATAATTCCAGATGTCTTATTAAGCTCAATTACTTTTTTAACTTAAGTTTTGGAATGCAGTAGGTGTTCCCAGTGTTGTTTCATTTATCTCAGGGCTGTGGCCCATGGCTTCTTACAGCCTCCTGCCCTGGGAAGGACCTTCTGGAGGCCAGGTTCTGCAGATGGTTTCAGAACTGAGTCTTCTCCCAAGTTAAGCTGAGTCTGAGGGGTTCAGTTTTCTGCAGAGCTGCTGTGGTGGACTACAGGCTTTGTGTTAACCACCTGCACGACTTTTTGGTGTTGAGATTCACATTCTCTGAGATTCCTTTTCTCCAAGGCCTTCAGAATGATTTTTGGTTGCATTGGGTAGCAGCAGCTGCCGAGGTGTGATGCTCTTGGGGCACAGAGGTGCCCGCCCACCTCATCCCTGTGGTGCTAAGACTTGATTATTCTCCTTCATGTCAGTGACAACCCCTCCAGTGCAGCAAGCCCAATTTGCCAGCACAATGCTCTGTAATCCACGGACAAGAAAACAGGTTTCACTGAGAAAAAAATCACTTTTTTCTTAACCCACCAGCTGCATCCCACCTGCTCCAGGTTCCCAGCTGCTGCAAAAGGATTCCTGAGGCACATTTCCCTCATATCCCTAATCTGTCTGAGCAAAGGGCTGTTCAGCAGCCACACTCTGGGGACGTGGCACTGCTGTCTGTGCAGGTCTGATAATCAACAGGAACTGGGGCTGCCTCGTGGGTTTCTGGTTTTAATCAGTCCTGGAGCTCACAAGTTCCCTGTCCCTGCTCCAGGGTGGGTGGCAGTCATGGCAGGCATGTCACTCAGCAGCTGCAGCTGTAGGACAATTTGGCTGGTTCAGCATCACCAGCTGCTGATCATGTGCAGTCTAAAAACATTCTTCTGGTTAGGGGCTGTCTTAGGTTTGAAAAGACAGGAGTCCGTGAAGGAAGGCAAAAGCCTCCTGTGAAATGGAAAAGGTAAACCCCCTCCCTCCCAATTACCACAATTTCAAAATTAAAAGCCTCTCAGGCAAAGATATGGGAACGGGAATAACAGTTCTTTACTAGGAAATAACTAAATAAAAATAATTTTAAAATGTAATTAGTACAAACAAAACTAGTGATAGAAACCTGACACCCTGAGGAGTGAGGGTGTTGGTAACAGTCCAGTTAAATGGTGGCTGTTCCTCTCGAGTGGCAGATGAAATGCTGCTGGAGCGGTGATCTGTAGAAGGGCAGAGTTTTCTCTAAAGATCTGGTAGTAGCTGGGCCTGGTCTTCCTCTGGGGATCCAGCAGGGAAGAAGCTGCTCTTCTGGGAATCCAGTGAAGGGCTGCCCTGGTGTCCCAAAAAATGCTGATTTTATGCAGGTAGGGGTGCTTGGCTCCTCCCTCTGTGTGGAGCATCTCCCAATGGGATGATGTAACTTTACCAGTCATGCAGTGAGTCATTCAATGGCCCATTAACAGAAGATATCTCCCCGGAGGGAAACACTGTTCTTGGAAGAGATAAGAAAACTGCCCAACCTCCAACAGATGGCAATAGAATACATGCTTATCTTACAAGCCAGGACAGGGGCTAAGGGAGGTGCTTCCAGCAATTTGACAGTTCCAGCAATCCAGCAAATGGGAGGTCTGGAAAGACTCCTTAAAGTTTTCTTTGAGCAATATGGTATCTGTAAATGCCATTATTTTCCAGAGTGGCTAACACTCAATGAGTGTAATAATTCTGGCTTTTCGGAGGCACGTGTAGTTGGCTGACAACTTTTTAGTAGAGAATTTAGAATACAATAAAGCCTGATACTAATGCAAAGTAATTAGAACGAAAGTTATTATGTATAGCTTGTATAATTGTACACAGCTAGGTGTGTGCTGCAGTTTGTCGACTCCTTTGTTCTCTGTTCTGTGCTTTGGAGAACATAATTGCACTTAAGCTTGAATGTTTTATGCTCTGTTTAAGGTGATCTTTATTTGTCTAGGAAATGTTCCTATGCTTTTTTGCAGAAATGCAGAACATTTCATTGCATGTACCAGTAGAAAGTGCAAGGTATTAAAAGAAATTTAAATGTCAAATCCAGCAACTTTTTGTGAACAAAAGGCATTTTTTGTAAATAGTACGGTTGGAGAGTGGCTGATTTGTATAGGAGAGGAATTGGCTGGTATTTGTGGTGATGAACAAGAGAGTTGGTTGATCACCTTGTGTTGGAGCCCTGGACACTGAGAATTTCAAACTTTCTGTGCTGCCAGGCCCTGACCCCCAGGAGAGCACTGCATTGACCTGAGGCCGTGGAGAAGCTTCCAAAATGGAATGGCAGAACTGGGATTGTGGGTGTGGAGTTTGAATAGAAGTGTGTGATATCACAGGGTGGGAAACTCAGAGTTGAAGGGTTTAGAATACAGTAATAGCTATAAAGCAAGATGGAGGTTTTGGGATGGAGGCTGGTCCTTCTTCTTCACCTTCTTCTCCATGGGTTTTGATGTTTTTGTGAAACCTTGTGGCCAAAACATTTTTTTTGGTCCAGTTTTTTCTTTTTCTAATGCCTATCTCTTTTTTTCACCCCTTAGCTTGCTCAGAGGAGCTGTCGGGGAAATGGGTTGAAGGCATGAGAAAGAAGGAGATGAGTCAGACCTCTGAATATACACAGGGCCATTGAATAGAGAGTAACTTACCTGGGACAGTAGTTGGAAATAAAGGTCCATGAGGGCACAGGACAGACTGCACTGACCTGGGGCACACAGATAGACCAACCTGGCTGCACACAGACAGCCCCTTCTAACTCCTGGCCTTTCTCTTTTCCTTCTACCAGGGTCCAAAACTGTGTGTTGTCAGAACCCAGGACATCCCTCTGGCTGCCCTGGCAGGGGTCTCAGAAACCTTGGCACAAAGTCAAAAACACCTGTGGCTTCAATTTTAGCCCATGGAAAAAGTTGCCAACTTTGTATGAGGAATTACAAACCACAAGGGTTTGAGTAGTGTGGTAGTTGAATTAACACAGGGTGAAAAAGTAGAATTTTGGTGGTTTAAACTAAGGGGTTCAAGGGTACAAAATTGAGAGATTTGGGCATGTCCTGACCTTCTCCTTCTTCTTCTTGCCCTTCATGTCTTGCTGTGGTGGTGACACTTTTCTATTGGTTTAAGATAGAGACACACTGTCTAACATAAATGATAGATATTGCCACATTATTGTAAACATAGTACAGGTAATTTTTAATATAAAATGGCAACACCACCCCAAGGGGGTGGGAGTCTGTCACAGACTAACCTGTTAGACAGACCACAGCTCCTTGGGAAAGTGTGTTATAGATAAGAGAAAATAAGCAACCTTGAGAAGCCGATCCCACGCATTCTGACTTCTTCTTTGGCCCTATGGGCTGGGAGAAAAAGACTTTTTACAATCTCAGGGTCATTTCAACCACCAGACCCCTGAGATGTGTGACATTTCCCTGCACAGATCATGAGGATGTGACCCAGTGTGATCTAAACCCCTCAGAGCCCAGGGGGTGAATAATTTCCCCTCAGGAATTTTTCCTCAATTCACAGGCCATGCTCCTTTTGGGTGCTGCCAGCTGCCTTTGCTGCCAGGGCACGTCACTTGCTGACTGCTAAAACCTCCATGTCCTTTCCCACAGACTATTCCAAATCACCATCATTTCCTTCATGCAGAAATCTGTTCTGGGAGGACTCATTTCATCATTTCCCCAACAACTGAAGGGAAGATGAGCAGTTTGTGGGGCCCTGGGTGGAACTTCTGGCCTCTTTTTGAAGCAGCTGAAACATTTCTTTCATCAGTGGCTGAGGACCTCTCTGGATGCCCACAATTGTTCGAAGATCCTGGACAGCAGCCTTGCCAGGGCCCCAGTCATGGGTGTGAGAGCAGCAGCATTCCTCTGAGACCTTAAAATCTCCTACAAACATGAACTGTGGGTGAGTTCTGGATTTTCTGACACCATCTCTAGGTGCCTTGGCAGCGTTTCTAAATTCCTCTGTTGCACCCTTCAGTCTATCATGGAGCTCCAGTCATTCAGGCCTTTTCTGTAGATGTTCTCGTGGTCTCCCTTGACCCATATGAAGGAGCAGAAAGCACCCAAGGGCTGGATGAGCCTGGCAGCTTCTCCTCAGCATCCCTGATCCAAGGCCAGGGGAAGCAGCAATTCTCCCTGGACAGGGAGGTGGTTCTTTGTCATCTGGCTCTGGTTTCAGACCCCAAGGCAGGAGCTCTGAAGTGATTTGGAGTCCTGATCAGCACTAATATGGGCAGATAAGTGGTTTCATTGGCCACCTTCTGAAATGTTTTTGGAAGGAGAGTGAAGCTGCCCTTTGAAGCCTCATGAGAGAAGCTGGAACAGATTGCCCAGACAGCAATGGATGCCCCGTCCCTGGAAACATTCGAGGTCAAGTTGAACAAGATCAGTTTGATCTGGTTGAAGATGTCCCTGATCATGACAAGGGTGTTGGAATAAATGAGTTTTAAAGGTCCCTTCTAACCCAAACCATTCCATGATTCTATGTTCCCTGGAGCTGGGACGGACCTTCCTTTGTCTAATTGTCACAGAGGTGGGTTCTCCTGTGGAACCTGGAAGTGTTTGTGAGCTTGTGTATGTTCTTCGTGTGTATTCTTGGTTATTTGAGGTGTTTGGAAGGAAGGATTGGGAGCTGGGTTTTGACACTCTTTGTGGGTCCCTTCCAACTCAGGGGATTCTATGATTCTCAGTGTATTGACAGTACATGAGTTTTTTACAGAGGTTTTCTGGATGGTTTGGTAGCACCTTGACTGACTGGACCATAATCTCTGGTGAGCCAGATTCTTTGCTGCTTAAAAAATATAAATTACTATATGTAGCTATAGTTTCACCCTTGATTTAAATTTCCTTCGTGTCACGTCATATAAAGGATTGATCTTTGCACGTCTGCATTTTATAGATACAATTTTCTCTCCTCTGTGATTCATGTCCTTTATTCACATGAATAATTTTCTCCTTGTTCTTTATTATTTAATGCAACACTACTTGAAATGCTCCATTTCAAGCCTTAAATTAACCTTGGATGTGAGACATAGATTGGCAACATTGTACTAGTGAAGAACCTATTAAATAATTGACAGAGTCTTTTAAAGTGGTGCTTAATCTCCTGAAGGCTGTGGCACCCCCTTCAATTTACAGAATCTGTGTTTGAGCACAATGATGCATTCAGATTGACCTTGGCTCGTTAGTGTTGGTATTGATTAGAAAAAATTCCATTTCAGTCTTGCAACTGTATATTTTATTTTAAAATGTACAGTAGTTTGGGCTGACTGTGAACAGGAATACAGGAAATGCTGTTGATATGGTGAAAAAAAAAAATTAGAAGAGGGAAGGTGTTTTTGGGGGGGGGTTCACCTACCCTTGCCAGCAGCTTTGCAGGCTCACATTGCAGAGAATGAGAATCAGTTCTGGGGGTTTATTGACAGCTTTGGTTTGCTCCAATATTTTTTAATTCACTACAAAGTATGTCAGAGATGTGGAAATCTCCCCAGGGTCTGTGTCACAAGAGCCCAATAAAGAAATTCACTGGGTGTTTTTGCTACATTTTCTCCATCAAGCATTCTTGATGATTCCTTAGCTGCCCTCCTGCTTTAATGCTTTTCAAGAACTTCTTACCATGCAGTTGAGTGTCCACTGTAAGGGGCTGTTAAAATTAATTTCCACCCTCTTCATTTCTTGTTTAGCTTTGACCTCCCATGTTTTGTGCTTTTCTGCTCTCTGCATGTGAGCAAGTTTTCTACTTCTTTAAATTTTGACATTTTCCTTCAGGCTCCTGAACTCCCTGTTGAGCCAAGCAAAAATTAATTGAATTTTCTTTATTCCTTTTTTCCCTTTGGTCCATGCTTTATCTGGCCTTCTAACCCAGTATTCTGTGTAGTCTTTAGCATGTTTGTAGATGTGACAGCTCCTGCTTCAGGAGCTCTTCTCACCATTTTCTTGTCTAATAGCTTTGTTTCTACACTGTTTCATTTCTTCACGTTTTCTTATCTTATACTTTTTTTTCAGCTCTTTTCTACAGCAACCCAATTTTATTGTGAGCTGAGCACCACTAGAAAGCAGCTTTTTCAGTGATTCCACTTGAACTGTTTTCCAAGCACCACTTGAGTCTAAATCCAAAGCAGCATCTTTCCTGTGGATTCCTGTATAGGTTCTTTGAGAAGTTTTGGGTTTGCATCTCATCCTGAAGAACTGCAGACCCATTTTCGGTATAGGTGATTTAACTGCTCTCAGTCCAAAATTTGTTCTTTCTGTGCTCAGCATTTCACTGTCATTGCCCTGCTGGGGACCCAGTTCCAGTGCTAAACTGGAATTAGATGATGGGATTCCTTGCCTCAAGGCTTCTTCCACACTTTTCCTGTAACACTTTCATGCTGTTACACTGCAAATATATATAATTCGTTAGTAATTCAAGCAGAGCACAATTTTCCTGTTTGAGGCTGCTGCAGCCCCAGCCCTGGGAGCCTGCTCTGGCATCTCTCTCCAGAGAATCTGTCATTTAATTTCCAAGATTTGCCAAGTATCTTCTTGTTACCTGTTTTTATCAGACCTACCTTCATTTGAGTGTTAAAAATCAAAGGTAGAAATGACTGGGGGAGTAGAACAATAATGGCAAGAAATTTCATAAAGCTTTTCAAGGATGAGATCTTAAGCTGATGCTTGAAAGCTGTTACCCTGCTTTCCTGCTCAGGAATGCTGCTGTGAATCAGTGCTGCAAAAATTAACTTGTCACAATGAGACATGAAGAATGCACTCTTAAGGAAAATAATACTAAAATACCTGCCACTCTCTGGATGCTTCCATACCAAGGTAAATTTCTGCTGCTGTGCTGGCTGAAACCAGCAGGATCTGCCTGGGCCACACATGGTTTCAGTTTATTGTGGCAAGCACATTTCTCTCCCTCTCAGGATTTTTCATAGAGGTGCACAGAGAGAAATGAAAGAGAAAACAATTTCTATTTCTGCTCCTTGTTTTTCCTATGTGAAATGTGTTTGGAGAATTGTTTACCTGGAGTGAGTGCTTGATTGGGTTCTGGTGAGGGTTGTTTGAGCCTGATGGCCAATCCAACCCACCTGGGGCTGGACTCTCAGAGAGGGTCACGAGTTGTGAGAGTCAGAGAAAGTAGTATGTAGTTTTAGTGCCCACCTTTTATATAGCATATTAATGTATTTTAGCATAGTTATAATAAAGAAATAATTCAGCCTTCTGAATTGAGTCAGGCATTGTCATTTCTTCCCATTGGGTTCGCCTGCATTTACAATAGTTTATCTTGTTGTGTGTTGTTTAGTCAGTGTTGAATCATAGAACCACAGAATGGTTTGGGTTGGAAGGGACCTTAAAGCCCATCCAGTGCCACCCCCTGCCATGGGCAGGGACATTTTCCACTGTCCCAGGCTGCTCCAAGCTCTGTCCAACCTGCCTTGGACACTTCCAGGGATGGGGCAGTCACAGCTAAGCAGGACCCCTGATGAAGCCTCACTGCCTGGAGTGGCTGGAATTCCTTTGTCCTGCTCTTCTGGTGCTCCCCTGCTGAATGCAATCCCTCTCCAGACACTGAGCATCTTCAGTTGGGTGTGAGGAATGGGATGGATTGAGTTTCCCCTCTCCCAGCAAGTATAGTTCAAAGCTGTTATTATTATTATAGCCCCTGTTATTTTAGACCCTATTATTAAAACAAATCAAATTACCTGTTTTGATAAGTCATGTTGGTTTGGGTTCCTCCAGTGTGCTTTGGCTAATATTTCCTGAAGAACTGTTTTGATGCTGGATTAGAAAGCTGTTTCATTCTGCAAAAAGGAAAAGGCATGGCACCAGGCTTGTTTTTTTTTTAAGGAGGGTTGGGAACATGGGAACAAAGGACAGGCCTTCTAAAATCCTTTATTTTTACCCTGCCTGGTAGCCTTGGCTGCATCTCTGTGTAGTTCTGAGTATTTCAAAATAACAAATAGCAAGCAGGTAATCACAGAAGTGCCAGCCACAGTTTGAAATACAGCATCACCATCCTTTGTATAACTCCTAAACTGTGAGCTGTGTCATTGTTTCAATCTGGAGTTTCATCCATCTTTTTGTCTTGCTCCTCTGGCGAAGGAGGACTGGTTTAATGGGAATCTCAGCTTTCTATGAACAGAAAAGTTATGAAACACAGGTAAAAATTAAATTTCTTAGAAGTAATGAAAGCCAACAATATGTACTTGCCCACCACTGTATTTTATAATTGCATCCAAGGCCTTGTGAGGAAGCAGCTGTGTAATTTAAAATATTGTTGTAGTATTTCAAGTAGGAATATGATGGATGCCTTTTTCTTTCTGAGCCCTGTTGTTAAGGAACTGCTGGAATCCTGAATCACTGTTAACTATAGCCTGTGTGTAATGACAAGTTTGTCTTTTGGGAGCAATGCTGTTATTAGTTTCCTAATATCAGGTTGCCATATCCCCGTGAACATTGCATTTTAAATAGTTAAAAGCTAATTTAGTCAAAATCTCTGGGGTTTTGGATCTGTTTGCTAATGCAAGGTGTTAGGGAGCAGGAAGCAGAGAGCATTGTCTCACCTTAATGCTTGGAAAATAGTTAAGAACAAATGGTGGCAGGATTTGCTGCTCTTTCTTTGTGCAACCCTTCCATGGTAGCTGACAGCCTATTTTTTTGGTTGTTTGGTTTTTTGGGTTTTTTTTTTTTTTTTTGGTGATTTTGTTTGTTTTTTGTGTTTTTTTTGTGGGTTTTTTTGTGGGGTTTTTGTGGGTTTTTTTTGTGGCGGTTTTTGTGGGTTTTTTTGTTTGCTTGGGTTTTTGTTTTGTTTTGTTTTGTTTTTCTTTTTGTATTCTCCCTGATTTTATTCCATCCTGTCTTATGGGTGACTGTCCTGATGTCTGCTGAGGCTCTCAGGGAAATCCAACCATCCCTCACAGTGTTATTCCTTTGTTTCCACTGTTGCTTTTATTCAGCAGATTCTAATTCTGTGTCCAGTAGTTTTTCATGGTCTGCTCATCTTGCTAAACCTCATCCCAGTGCCCCAACTTCTTACAGACCTCAGCAGAAGCACTCTGAGTTTGGTGGCTCACATAGTTTTCTTTTTTTATAAAGTTCTGTGCCTCAAAGACCCACAGAAATTTTGTAGGAAGATTTCATTGCTCCTGAATTATCTGCAGTACCAGACAATGTGGCTGCATGGAAAATCAAGAGTGTATTTTGGTATTTGAAAAGGAACTGGTGCTGTTGTCAGGAAAATAATTAACTCCAATCCAGCATTGAACAATAACATCTTTTGGCACATAGACTGAGAAATAAACAAAATGCAGAATAAATTAGAGGGACCCGCTCTGGCTGTCAAGTCGGATTTCAAGCATCTTTTTTCTCTTTTAAGGTTTTTCTCCCTCAGGATACAAGATGTGTTTAATACAAGAATGTGAATCAGAAGAATACAGGAGATGTTTTATTTTTCTGTGCATATCACTGTCAGCAGAATAAGATGTTTCCTTGTCCCCATCATGCTTTTGCTGGCTTTGATGGGATCTGTCAGACCCCCACTCTGGACTAGCCTCGCTCTTACATCTCTTCTGTAAACCTTTATCCCTGAGCATCACTTCTTACAGTGTCCAGTTGCTTTGACTGAGACAGAAATAAGAAATTTTGATCTGAGATTTAGATCCTTTTTTTTTTTTTTTTTTTTTTTTTTTTGCCTTTCAGAGGGGTTTTTTAAGGAGATGGAGCAACCACCTACCTTAATCTGAGGTCATGCATGAATTGAGGCTTTCTTATAAATCCCACATGAAATCAT